TATTTATTTATACACTATGGTCCATGCATATTTACTGTGTCACATTAAAAAGTGTATTTCTTACAGTTTTACTCTTGATTAGCAAAAAAGAAAGTACTGGAAAACACTTTTCTACAATAATTTAATATCTGACTCTAATTCATCACAAACTTGAAATATAAATAGATTATATTGTGACCTTTCCTACAGTTAAATAAATTTGTTTTCAAGTGCAAATTACAGATTTTTCCTGTTATTTCAAAAGGCAAATTCTTTTGAAAGCAAATAAAGAATGTATAAAGGCTTGTGATGAGCTCTAAAGGGGTAAACTTCCTGGGGATGGAGGGGAAGGAGGGTAACTTCAGCGGGTTTCTCCAAGTATCATCACAAGGCCAATGTGGGAGAAGGTAATGGGAGAGGGTATTTGGGGGAAGTAGAAGCTCAAATCCAGAAATAATAATCTTAGTCTATAGAGAGAACAATGTACTCTGATAGTCTAGGCCTAAGAAGACAGGGCAAAAGGCAAAATGAAAGAAACCACAGAATAGAAAAACAAACAGAAAATTCTGAATTTTGAAATTGTGGAGTCCTCAACACTAGCATCATGGTCAAACATAAACCAAGACGTGTTCTTAATGACTTTTGGGGAGTTTTTGTGAGTATCCCGCAGCAGAGGGGGAGCCCAGGCACTCAAGAAAACTAGATAAAGGGTAGTTCCCCAGACACAGAAGGCCTCGTATTGTATGATTCTATTGATATGAAATACAGAGCAGAGGAAAACCCAGAGATAACACTGCAAATGTACTAAATACCATTAAATTGTATACTTTAAAATGTTTAATTTTATGCTATGTAAATTTTACTTTGATTTTAAAAAGAAAGAAAACGAGAAAGAGAGAAATAGAGTAGAATTTCAAAGGAAAAGAGGAATGTGTGTCCAAAATGAAGAAAGTAGGAAGATTAGGAATCCAGGGTCCCGATGACTCCACTGTCTCAGTGGAACTCCAGCTCAAGGCTTGGACTGAGTTCCAGCTTGTGAGGGTGACAAGGACAGAGGTGAGTTGACCCAGAGAGGAGGGAAGGGGCACAGGGAAGGATACTGGCCAGAAGCACGTTGGAAAAGGAGCAAATTCAGAGCTGCTGAGAAACTGCAAGTCAGGGTTCACTGCACACCACTCCTTTTAGACATAAAGAACTGAGAGATACTGGAGTAGAAAGACGGAGGGGTAGAAAGATGTCCAGCTGAGATGACATGAAAATATTCCTGACAAAGGGATGAGAAAGCCTCAAAAATGCTCTCACACAAAGGAAGAATGGACAAATTAGGCAGAACCTATTATCTTAATATGCCCTATAAAAATAAAGTCAAAACCACTAAGGAATGGATGAATGAATTAATTAATTGAATTGAGGGAGAAGGAAAGAAAAAAAGGGAGAGAGGGAAGGAAGAATTTAGATAGATATTAGAGTAGACAATTATTTGCTGGTTAACAAGAAATTTGACTTTCAGAGGTTTCTGGTGTACTTAAAGCAGAATCACTATCCAGTTTTGTGTCTTTTTAAAAAATCTGGTTTTTGAGAGAGAGGAAGGGGGTGGGGACAAGAGAGAGAGAGAGCATCTGCTGCCTCCTGCACACCCCCTTATTGGATATCCAGCCTAAAACTTGGACATGTGCAACCTTTTGGTGCAGAGGACAACACCCAACCAAGCCACACCAGCAAGGCCCAGTTGTGTGTCTTTTGTATGGGCTTAAGACTACAATCTCTCAGTAACAGTCAATTAATCAGCATATCTATGTTTAATCATCTGTTTAATCATCTAAAACAAATGGCAGGATACTGCAATCCATGCATAAATGTTTACTAAACACCTCCATGTGCTAGGGCTGAGCTACCAAGTCAATGGGGCACAGACTTTGCCTTCTAGGGAGACTGGGTAGCACAGTGAAGTTACTGCTCTACTGCAAGAAGGCTTCCTCTCTATTGGGGACGGTAGAGAAGCTTGCACTTAGGAAAGACAGGCCTGTAGTCAAATCCCAGTTCCGCTTCTAACTAGACTTGTGACTTAACCATTCTGGGTCTGTTTCTTTACCTGTAGAATGGGAATGACACATACTCAAAGGGTTGTTACGAGGAATAAACAAGATAGGATATGTAATGTACCTAAACAAGAAACAAGTGTTGGCTGTAATAGGTTCTTGATATAAGGTAGCTGTTTTTAATTAAATATGAACATGTGGTGTATGAGGAGGGCATTCTGGCCAGAGGGAGTGGCAGGGGACAGAAGCCAGAGAAAGCATAGCTCTTGGGGGCTGGGTGAAATGTGGGTAATATAACAGGTTATGTAATAGGAGATGATCTGTAAGAGAGGCTGGACAGATCCTGGGGACCCATCCTGCTAGGGCACGGGGACCTCATTCTGGGCTAAGAAATTGGGTTTGACCCTGTGGGCAGGAGGACAGCACGTGGAATCTCCCACCCAATCCCTCCGCTACAGTGACCATCCATTATTCTTGAAACTTTTCACCCTCCCGGTCTTTATAAAATTTATAAACATCATCTCTTGGACACTGGTCCTCTATGATGAAGGCAAATCATCTCACTTAAGTTGCCTGGAAAAAGGAATGTAAACTGGTTAATGAACTTAAGGATTTCTTAGTAAATATTTGCTGAGTGAACATCTGTCATAAGCTCCAGGCGGAGAAATGGCAGTTTATAATCTTAGCCAGGGAGATGACTTACCCACAAAGTGATGGTGCAGGAAATGCCAAAGGGAGTGGGGACAAAAAAGTACGACACTGCTTCGGCAAGGCCCAGACTGGTCTCACAGACCCTCATAATCACATGGAGCCGGTTATGACAGATACGGTTTAGGATTGCCAGAGAGAACAAAAAACAGAGCTTCCATGATTTCAAACTCTCTATCGACAGGGCCCCACTTACTGCCTGCACCCAGGGCTCCCTCCTCCATTTGGGGTTTTGGTACACTGTCTCTGAGCCTTAGTTTCAGAATTGACAAAAGGCTCCCACCTAACAGCGTATTTTGAGAGGGTGAAATGAGATAATTTGAAGTAAAAATGCCTTCTGTCCAGGGTTTGACACAGAATATGGCACTGAACACGTGTTCCTTTTCTTTTCTCGTCTTCCTTTCTTCTTTCCCTCCCAAAGTGGTTCCAGAATCCAGTGTAGATAACATAGCCAATGATTGTTGCTATCTTTCTGTCTACACCGGCACCACGCATCTTAGCATGCACTATCTAAGTTGATGAGAAAGTATGAGGTGTGGCAGGAACACCAGCCTTAACTTCACTCCCTAACAGGCCAAACACCTTCCACTTGAGGAAAGGGGACTAAGGTGGATGCAGCGTTTGTAAACATCTGTTCTCCATCCCACTATCCAAATCTCCAGCAAAAATTTGTATTCTTAAGACCTGGTCCCAAAATAAAATTACAGAGTGCTATCACATATCACCACACACAATTTTTCAGATCTCCCCATTTCCCCAAACACTCCAAGAAATTATGCTCATGTTATCAATACAGGCAGGTCGGCTGGTTGCTGCAAAACTTTGGGGACCTGTCTGTGACTCTTACTTTTCCTAAAAGCATCACCTCAAAACTACCCTGAGCAGAGGTGGAGAGCAGAGAAAACGATGTCACCTCTTAATCTTGACACGTCTACATGATTTCCAGTGTGAAACAATAAGAGAACACAATCTTTCACAGACAACAAATAAACCAGCTAGAATTTGTTTCTGCATAAAGTCTCTGAAAGCTTATAAAGTAATTATTGCTATAAAGACATTACAATATTTCTTCTCACTCTATAACTAGTGTCTTTGCAGGCTAAAAACAACTTCTCTGCCCTGCTTTTTTAGGGAGGAGACGTTGGAAAATACATTTATTTGGTCAAGTAGCCAGATACTTAAAAATACACTACTTGTGGTAAATGTATTCTAGTGAACAAACTCCCACCTTGTAGCAGATCAGTCACTGAAATACTGACCTTCCACGGAGTCTGATCCAGCTGGGTTTTGGGGAGAGATCGCTTTCCTCAACTCACTCCTGAAACTGGGTTCTAGGTAACCAACCTCCTAACAACCACTACAGCCCTGTGGCTATCCTGTCATCACCGGACATGCACACCTCAAGCTCCTCCAGTACACAGGCCTGTGCCAGAGACTGCTGGTACTGATTTTCCACTACACGTGAGAAGGGACTAAGATTTTCTCTACATCACTTTTCTCGCTTGTAAAATGCTAAGAAAACAATTCAAACGAAACAAAACTTAAGCGGGAGCAGATCTCCACTTAATTTTTTTTTCTTTATTGATTTGAGAGAGAGAGAGGAAGGGGGAGGGAGAGATGGAAAATCCATGAAAAAGATGGAAACATCCATGAAAGAGATCATCAACTGGCCGTCTCCTGCATGCCCCCCACTTGGGATTTGGTCCACAACCTGGGCATGTGCCCTGACAGGGAATCGAACCAGTGACCTCTTGGTGGATGGGTCAATGCCCAACCACTGAGCCACACCGGCAGGGCCAGGTCTCCACTTTATATTGAAAAGGCCAGAAAGTTCATCGGTGGAGCAATGTGAGGCTCTTTTTGGGGTTGTGGTCCTGGGAGAAACGGTGACAAGAATTACAATGAGGCACCACCACAGGTTTCCTCTAGGAAAATCAGACTCCGTCCTCCTCCATATCCAACACCCCGGTCGCAGGCCGGTGCACCCTTCAAACTCGAGTGCAAAGCCCGAGAAGCGGGGTGGGTGGAAGGGCACACCCCGCCTGGATATGACTGGGGGAGAATCTGGACCCCAGCCCAAACGCCTGTTTGGCTTCTGAAGGAAACTGAGGCAGAGGGTGCGCTCGGGGATGCACTCCTCTAGGAGAAGGCACAACTTGTACCCACTTAGTCCCTCAGCAGCGTCCCTGCTCCTCCCGCCCTCTCCAAGGCCAAGGAGGCCCCCGGCTGCGAGGCCGGAGGTGGGCAGGGGGAAACACCCGGGGCAGCTCTCACCTGGCTTGCGGCCTCGAGTGCGGGCCGACAGCAAAGGGTTGCACAGACTCAGGCCCGCGGCGACGAGCAGCAGCTGCCGCGGCCCCATTGTCCCGAGGCTCGGCGCGGACCGCGCGGCTTTGCTCCGGGAGACGGTCTCCGCCCCCGGGGGCTCGGGTCCCGTACTCTCTTCCTCCTCCCGCCGGCCCAGCCGCCCGGAGGAGCGGGGGCCTCAGAACGCTCGCCGCCCGCGGGCAGACGGAGGAGCTCGGCGTTGCCCCGCCGGCCGGTCAGCGTGTCTGGTGGCACTAAGAGGGCGCGGGCGCGGAGGGGCGGGGCGCGCGGGCGCGGAGCGGCGCCAGCGGGGAAGGGCGCCCCCCGGCGCCGAGTGTGCGCCTCGACTCGTCGTCGGACTGCTCCCCGCGGGCCCCTCTGCGGCGGCTTAAGTGCCCCTGGGGCCGGGCGACCCTGAGCCCCGCTCGCGCGCCGGCCTGCCCCACCCCTTCCCCGCGCCCCGCCGCGCAGTGCCGCGAGCCGGGCCCCCGCCCTCCCCTCCCCGGGCTGCGGGCTACTGCCCGGCGGGGAAAACCAAACGAGACACTTTTTCCTTTGGGCGCTTTGACTCACGAAATATTTGTGACTCCGTCTGGCGAGGGTCTTGAAACCCGGCCCTCGGCCTGGGCGGCTGCCCTCTGCTCTCTCATTATCCTCGCAGAGAGCCGAGACCTGTGCACTGGACCCCACGACACAGGCGCGCGCCCCGCGGCCCAGCCGGGACCTCCCCGGCCCGTGCAGCGCGGACCGCAGGCCAGCGCGTGGCCCTTGGAAATGCGGGAGTTGGCTGAAAGTTTGAAAGTGACTCGTATTTTGTAATTTGGGGTAGGGAATTTAGACGTTTATACTGTGATGACAAGGTTGCCCCCTCAAGAGAAAAGGCCCATGTTTGGACAGAATTCTTGACATTTCGTAGTCGTTTCTCTCTATTTCGTGAAGGTGACGTTTCATTCGTGGGGCACTTATTTCAGCGACCCCGTGACTCCGGGTGCAGCCTCTCCTGCCTCCCGCTCGCACCGCCGTGGCTTTTGGTCCCCTAACCACAGCGCCCGTTAGAATCGTCTGCGCTGCCTTTTCGGGGGGAGAGCCGGCGGGGCACCCGGTGCCCCGGGCAGCACTGGGCACCGCCTGCGAGACGGACGGCCAGAGGGCGAAGTGCCCCGGGGACGGGGTGCTTACACCTTCTTGAACCATATTTCATGGGTTTAATAGAGTTGGGTCAAATTCGGGTTACAGGCGGGGACCCTCGCGTCGCTCCGCAAGGGGCCCGGAGGACGCCGCGGCCCAGGTCCCGGCCGGAGCGCGCGGCTGGTCTCGCTCGGAGAGCGCACCCGGGGGCGCCCTCTCAGAGCGCGGCGCAAAGCCGTGCCCTCCCCGCGGTTCCAGGGGCGGTCACCGCAGCTCGGCCCTCTCGTGAGCGCGGCGAGCTGTGCACCCCGTGGCTGGAACACTGCCCCAGAGGCACTGGATAGACTTCTAAGCGTTTTATAGAGAGAATTTCGCATTGGGTGTGTCATTCCCCACGAACCCTGAAACCGGTCGAAAATAAGATAAAAACTGCTCATTCTTTCCTATGTCTCCCATCAGAGCACAGAGACTTGTTGTGTATAGAAGTAGCTCAATAAATGACTGAATAACGTAATTAAATAACACTGTTTCAAAATGTTCTTTACTCCCTCTGGCAGGTTTGGCTCAGCGGTTAGAGCGTTAGCCTGCGGTTCAGAGAGACACGGGTTCGGTTCCGCAGGGCATGTACCTCGGTTGCAGTTTGGCCCTGGCCCCGGTTGGGTCGTTCAGGTGGCAACCACTAGATGTGTCCCTTTCACGTTGATGTTTCTCTCTCTCTCCCACTCTATCTGAACAAAAAATGGAAAATACTGGGGTGAGGATAAAAAAAAAGTTCCTTACTCAACTCTCTGAGGAAAACATACCGAGTAGATCTAAATCATTAAAAAGTTACATTTCTCCAGTCCCTATTAATGGATACTATGTTCATCAGTCTTAAGACACCATTAATTTAGAAAAATATGCCATTAATTTAAAGACCCACCCTTTTCTTTTATGTAGCACAAACAAGAAAAAATTGCTGCCACTTAAACTGTGATAAATGGATTGTAAATGACTCAATTTCAGTATTGTTTAAACAGGAAAAAGGGCATCTCAGAATTAATGCAACACGGTGTAAAATATAAAAGTAATCAAAACACGTGGCAAGAGATTTTAACAGCTCAAGGTTACAAAATGAAAAGTCAAAAGTAATTCCACCACCCTGGCTGGTTTGCTAAGTGGTTAGAGCGTAGGTCCCCAGAGCAATGAGTTGCGGGTTCGATTCCATCAAAGGTACAATTGCAGTTCCTTCCGGGCCCTGGTCAGGTCATGCCGGGTGGGAGGCAGACAGTCAATATAGCTCTATCACATTGATGTTTCTGTCTGTCTCTCTCCCTCCTTCCCTCCCACTTTATCTGATGATAAATAGAAAAAAAAAAAAAAAGTATTTCCACCTTTCACCTTTCCTCCTAAGAACCACATACATCATCCATGATGATCACTGTTAATAAAATTTCTTTCCATCATTCAAGAAATTGTAATCACATACAGGTGTAGGTATATAAGTATGAATATCCTTAAAATAAGAATGGAATTATACTCTGTCTACAACACAAATTTTATGTTTCATTGGTGGAAAATACTTTTAACCATTTTTCTAGATTAAAGTATCCTTTAGACTGGGGCTGCAATACAGTGAACAAGGAGGGAGAGTGGTACAGAAGGAGGTGGTTTACTCACTGAGCGGCCACCAAAAATTAAAATTAAAACTACCTTCAAAATCAGTGGCCTTAACCCTGTCACGCACAAGTGTAGATTCCTGGACCCCATCCTGTACCTATGGAATCAAATTCTACATTTTTGACAAGCCCCACCCCCCACCCCCCAAGCCATCTCATGATGATGTCTGATGCCAGACCAAAGTTTAAAGAAACATTATTCTAAACCAGCTGTGGTTCTCTCAGATTTAAGCATGGATCAGAATCCTTTGGAAAATTTGTTAGTCCGTACTGCTGGACCCCCTGGCCAGAGTTTCAGATTCAGTAGGTGTAGGCTGTGGTTTGAAAATTTCTGTGTTAAACAAGTTCCTGGGTGATGCAGATGCTGAATCTGGGGGGCAAGAAGAGGGGGTTGGTGATGTGTGGGAGGGACACACTTTGAAAACTACTGCTTTGAGAGGTAAAAGGAACCGAGTAGGATTTCATATAGTTTGTGTGACTTTCTTGAAATTACACAATATTTTCAAGCACAGGAAAGTACAGGGCCTAGTATCTCACTCAGGGGCCTAACCCAGCATTAACAGATACATGTAAATATATCATATACATCTTATACCAGTTAAGCTTCTTTGTACCCTTTTCTGATTCCATTATTTTTCTTGTCCAGGAGAGTAACTTTCTCTCCATGATTTTGTACTTTTAGAACATTTCCTCCACCCCCCAAACAAGTATTGCTTAGTATGTTTTAAATATTTACACAAAGAGTAACATACTCTAGGACTACTTCTGCTATTTGCATTTTCTAGATATATCTGTTTGATACATGTATATTCAATTCTTTTTAAACTCTTTATAGTATTCTCTTGTATTATATACCACATTTTATTCTTCTAAAGCTATCGATTTTATCCGCAGTTTAGTTCCCAATTTTGTACCTAACATAGCATATGTTGGCTTTTTTCCCTTGACTAATCTGGCCAGAGGTTGAAAAATGGCCATTTCCCAGTGCTCGTCCTTTTGTTCTTTTTATGCTTTTCAATGTCACTAATTTTCACACAGGCTTTTTATTCCTTCTTTCTTCTTTTGGATTTACCCTTTAATCTCCTAATTTTTTGCACTGGTAACTTAGCTTATTAATTTTCACTCCTACCTCAAATGACCACTTCAGCTGCATTTTGCTTGTTTTGATGTGTACATATATGCAATTCAGGTCTAAATATTTTGTCGATTTTATTATAATTTCTTCAATCCACAAATTATTGGAAGTTTTGACTGGCCTTTTTGTGACTGATTTCTAATTTTTTGTTATGGTCTGTTGGTGATTTCTGTTTTCTGTTTTTTCCTAAGGCTCTACAAAGTTCTTAAAATATTTGTATGTTTTTAGAGCTTCTTGAAAAAGTTTTCAATCTCTCTACCTCATTTGTTCCAGGTCATCCACACCAAAACCTCTTTGTTGCCAGTTTTAGAGCAAATCTGTACAGTTTCCCAGGGTAGACAATCTGCCTGGCCAGAGACGGTTTCCTCACGTGTTGACACTCCTCAGAAACAAAATCTCAGCATTGCAGCATCGTTGTATTGGAGCCACTTGATAGCAGTTCTCAGTTTTTGTTTTTTTCTGTTTCAACTTGCCTAGCACTAAATAATATGTCATTAACCCTCTCTTAGTGTTTGTGGCATCGAGTAGTGTTTCTGAATGAACATGACATCACAATTGTGAAAGTTCTAATCCCAAGATGTCATGAAAGCAGTTTCTTTTAAACCTTGCTTTGATGATCTACTTGCTCCAGGGTATTCTGGTTACCACCCCTCTATTCCGTGCCCTGCAAAGACAACAGACTATCCCAAGAACTTGCCTAGTGATTTCCTTTTGGAAGCTGATGGTGGTGATACCAGGACTCAAATAAAATGAAATCAAGTTGTGTTCAAAGTGGCTGTGAGAGACCCCAGATTCTGTGCAGCTATTTTCACACTCGTTGTGCAAGCAAACAGTAAGTCTGTAATGAAATTACAAGCTACCCAGCACGAGACTTTTTGCTGTTACAAACCTGCAGTGGTATTTTGGGATTAGAAGTCAAGTTAAGCCCTGGCCGGTTTGGCTCAGCGGTTAGAGCGTCGGCCTGTGGTACAGAGAGACCCGGGTTCGGTTCCCGCTAAGGGCACGTACCTCGGTTGCAGTTTGTCCCCGGCCCTGGTTGGTCGTGGCAGCCACTCGATGTGTCCCTTCACATCGATGTTTCTCTCTCTCTCTCTTCCTCTCTCTCCCTCCCGCTCTGTCTGAACAAAAAATGCAAAAATGTCCTCGGGTGAGGATAAAAAAAAAAAAAGAAGTCAAGTTAATCTCATAATGGGTCAATAACAGTATTTCTACTAATAACATACTATGGATA